ATTTTTAGTAGAGACGGGGTTTCACCGTGTTAGCCAGGATGGTCTCGATCTCCTGACCTCATGATCCGCCCGCCTCGGCCTCCCAAAGTGCTGGGATTACAGGCGTGAGCCACTGCGCCCGACCGAAAAGGTTTTTGTCAGTCATATATGTGTGGCAAATACAGAGAAGCCACGACAACAGGAGAGCTGCTGTTTGGGTAGGCTCAGGGTGCTGCTTTCCCTGAGGGCCAGGTGGGTCTGGCCCAGGGTGAAGTGGAGGATTCACTTCCCACCATGGTTCCTCCCGTACTTGCTGCCTCCAGCCTCAGGTTCTGAAAGGCAGAGGCTCCTAGCCTCGTTGAAGGATGGCTAGAGAGGCACGGGAGATACCTAGGGGCAGGCGCATGGTATATGTTTACTGCTTTCTACAAATATGAGATCAAAAGAGAATAAAGCAGGGGTGGTTCCTATCAGCGTGGAGCGAGCCCCAGGAAAGCCTCCTGGTGGCTGTCGGGACTTGCTCACAGCCCCTTTCTCTTTCAGGGAGAGGCTCCTCCACAGTGGTATCCTGCTGCGTGCCCCTCCAGGACAGCACCCAGAGGCCCGAATTGCTGCCACGCAGAGAGCACTCGGCCTCACCCCACGTTTTCCTTAAGTTCTGTCTAGTAATTCCACTTTGGAGAGGGGGATGTTGCTTGACAGATTTAAGAGAGTTGATGTAACTTCCTTGGATCAGTTGTGTTGGCTCCATCCCCTGCCTGCTCAGCCCTGCACAAAGTGGCTAAGCACACCAGACTGCCCGGCTCCAAAGAGGATGGCCACCTGCCTCTGTCTCGGCCAGTAGTGGCAGGAAGATGGAAATCCCTCACTTTGAATGTCCCTAGATTCATTTTATTTTATTTTTGTTTGTTTATTTTATTTTAAGGACGGAGCCTTGCTCTCACCCTGGCTGGAGTGTGGCAATCACAGCTCACTGCAGCCTCGGCCTCCTGAAGCTCTGGCATCACAGGCGTGAGTCACTGTGCCTGGCCCCATAGACTCATACTGGCATAAACAAATAGGAAATGTACACAGCTCAGGAAATGGCTAGTAGATACTTAAGTCCCCCCAAACAGAAATATATTTCCTCTGAAGAGCGCAGTGGCTCATGCCTGTAATCCCAACACTTTGGAAGGCTGAAGCGGGCAGATCACTTGAGGCCAGGAGTTTGAGACCAGCCTGGCCAACGTGGTGAAATCCTGTCCCTACTAAAAATACAAAAAATTAGCTGGGTGTGGTGGTGCACGCCTGTAATCCCAGCTACTCAGGAGTCTGAGGCAGAAGAATCACTTGAACCCAGGAGGCGGAGGTTGCAGTGGGCCAAGATTGTGCCACTGCACTCCAGTCTGGGCAACAGAGCAAGACTCTTATCTCAAAAAAAAAAAGAAAAGGCAAAGTTATTTTTCTCTCTAACTCATAACTGGGGCCAGAGTCAGGGTGACATCACTGGGAGTGCCAGTGTGTGGAGGCGTCCCCTGACCAGTCCACAGTCACTGAGGGCAGAAGCTGCGGTGCACAGACTGCATTGTTCTGGCGTGGACGGTGCAGGGGGGTCCCACAAAGGCCTTGCCAGCTCATGGGACCCCACTGGCAGCCAGCATAGTGGTAGAAGCCTCAGACAGGCAGTGAGCCGTTGCCAGGACCCCATGGTCCCGTGGTGTCTGTGGCCACCAAACAGATGACAGAACCAGCCCCTCTTGTTCAGCCACCTAGGAGGCTGCTCCCAGGTCCATTGAGCTTGAGGATTCTTAACCACTCACCAGCTCTCTTCAGTTCCCCTTCAAATGCTGTTTTATCTCAGTGGAACGTACTACGCCCTGTATTTCCTCGCCACGCTCCTGATGATCACGTATAAAAGTAAGTCAGGCTGGGCGTGGCAGCTCACGCCTGGAATCCCAACACTTTGGGAGGCCGAGGCGGGCGGATCACTTGAGGTCGGGAGTTCGAAACAAACCTGGCCAACATGGGGAAACCCCATCTCTACTAAAAACACAAAAAGTAGCCGGGCTTGGTGGTGGGCGCCTGTAGTCCCAGCTACTCAGTAGGCTGAGGTGAGAGGATTGCTTGAACCCACGAGGCAGAGGTTGCAGTGAGCTGAGATTGCGCCATTGCACTCCATCCTGGGTGACAGAGCAAGACCCAGTCTCAAAAAAAAAAAAAAGAAGGAAAAGGAAAAGGCAAGCTGAGGCGGCTCCTGCTGCTGCGCCAGGTAACTTGTGTTCCGTCTGCACCTCTGCTCTCCAGGTCAGGTGTTCAGCTGTCCTCACCACTACCTGGTCCTCGATCTTGCTCTGCTGTTTCTGATGGGGATTCTGGAAGCATTGCGGTTATACCTGGGTGAGTGCACGTTAACACCGTGAAGAACCTGTCCTAAGAGTTGCTCTCTGTTACCACAGCCTTTCAATAGTAATTATTTTACAGTATGGTTCTCGGAGACGTTTTTTATCCAAACTGCTTACCCAGTTGCTTTGCAGGCTCACCTTACAGTGTCATTAAGTATTAATCGAGAAGTTTTGTCCCAGAGACAAACAACGCTGGGGGCATCGTTGGGAGAGTCTGTGTTTGGAAGTGTGTCTTGTAGAAGTCACTGGGTAATGGCACTGAGATCAGAAGCCCAGCCCACCACCACATCCGGAGCTCTGGAGTATTCACCAGCACCCCCTTCCCCTCGGCCTCGGCTGTCTGAGGAGAGAGCCTGGAGAGCTCTGCCAGGTCCCAAAAGGCAGCAGAGTCTAGAGGGGTGGGAGCCCCCAGCATCCCGAGTCCAGCTCTAGGGATCCCCAAGTCTGCAACCCCTTCAAGTGACCTCCTTTTTTTGAGAGGTCTCACTCAGTTGCCCAGGCTGGAGTGCAGTGGTGCAATCACAGCTCACTGCATCCTTGACCTCCTGGGCTCCGAGCAATCCCCCTGCCTCAGCCCTCCCCCTCTTCCCAAGTAGCTGGGACTATAGGCACCCGCCACCACGCCTGGCTAATTTTTTTTTTGAGATGGAGTCTCACTCTGTCGCCCAGGCTGGAGTGCAGTGATGCGAACTCGGCTCACTGCAAGCTCCACCTCCCAGGTTCACAGAAGTCTCCTGCCTCAGCCTCCCGAGTAGCTGGGACTACAGGCGCCCGCCACCTCGCCCGGCTAATTTTTTGTATGTTTAGTAGAGACGGGGTTTCACTGTGTTAGCCAGGATGGTGTCGATCTCCTGACCTCGTGGTCTGCCCGCCTCAGCCTCCCAAAGTGCTGGGATTACAGGTGTGAGCCACCGTGCCCGGCTGGAGACAAGGTTTCACTGTGTTGCCCTGGCTGGTCTTGAACTCCTGGGCTCAAGCAGTCTGCCCACGTTGGCCTTCCAAAGTGCCTGACCTCACTCCCCTTTTTTTAACCACACAGTTTGTTCAAGGATATATTCTTGTACAAGATTCAAGGGGTGCAGAAGTAAAACATGGAAATTTGCCCTCCCCAGAGCTCACTTCTGTGGCCAGTGGGGTGCAGGCTTCCAGCCCTCTGCGTGCTCATGGTCATAACACGTGCACCTAAACACATGTTTGTGAAACATTGCCCTGCCGTGGGGAACGCAGTGGGCACTTCCAGGGCACTTTGCGCCTGCCAGGCTGGAATCTTGGACCCCTCTTGTTGACACACAGATATACCCCTGATGCTCGATGTCCAGTGAGGAACCGAGGCTGCAGAGAAGGGTGGCCCCCACCGTTCCTCTTGTTACCAGGCCTCAGACACACTAGGAGGATGGAGGCGAGTTCTGTCAGTTGCTCATTCCACTGAGAGGTGCCCGGCCGTCAGTGTCTTGCCTGCACTTACAGATGGTCCTGGAGCCTCTACAGCTTGCCCCCCAGAGTGGGCGCTGCTGGGAGGGTGCAAGCGCCACTGCTGCACGGAGGCCTGGTTCTTGGCCGAATCTTCAGGGGCTTGGGCCTGCCCCAAGGTGGTGGGGACAGGGTGTGGTCTGGCCCTGCTGGGGGTTGCTAGGCCAACCGGGACCCTCCCCAAGCGTGCCGCACACTGCAGGGTCTCCAGGCACCTGGGCTCAGCTAGTGCCTGACTCATTTGTTTGCTAAATATGCAGTTTTGTTTTTAATATGTATCCATGAAATTTTCCAGAACTGGCCTTGGACCAGAGAAAAATATTTTGGGAATTTTTCAAAAAAATCCCTTCAGTTCCACTTGGAATTAGGAAAAGGTGGCAGATGCAGTTGAATCATTTTAGAAACCAAATTCACCCTCGCCCACACAGCCGACCCAGAAGACCCAGAGACAGATCACACTGGTTTTGCAGGGGCACTTGCCCCAGGAGGGGCTCACGCCTGTGCTGCACACGCTCTCTGGCTCTCCTGAGTTCTGGGTGGCCATGGGGGCTGTTTCCCTGGAATTCCCCAGGCCCCCGAGGAACATAGGGCAAGGATCTGCTCTGGTCCCAGCAGCCTGCCAGGTACCTGCGGGCAGTTGGCTCTGGGGATCACCCTGCACCACCTTCACTACCCCTTTTGCTCTGTTCTCCAGGTACCAGGGGCAACCTGACAGAGGCTGAGAGGCTGCTGGCCGCCAGCCTGGCCCTCACGGCCGGCACCGCCCTCCTCTCTGCCTACTTCCTGCTTTGGCAGACCCTGGTGTTGTGGGCAGACTGGGCCCTCAGTGCCACACTCCTGGCCCTTCACGGCCTGGAGGCCGTCCTGCAGGTGGCTGCCATTGCAGCCTTCACCAGGTAGCTGCGGGCACCCAGAACACCCCACACTGGGGCCCTCCTCCTGGGCCCGACCATTCCCCCAGCTGTCACCTCCCCATTCCTGGACAGAAAGGGCACTTTTCCTAGCGACTGGCCATAGATGGTTTCAGACGGCTCCATCTGTCCTGGCAGGGGTGGGAGCAGGAGCCAGAGCAGAACAAACTGCTGGAGGCGCTGGTGTTGGGAACAGCTGCAGGGAGGGTAGGGACCACACAGAACTGCCTTCAAGGTGAGTCCCAGGAGCGCACACTCAGCCCCGTCAGTGGGGTCTGGCTTCAGCAGCCAGGCCTCCATGGACCCCCATGGGCCCCCAGGGCTGAGAGGGAGGACACAGCCCTTCAGAACAGAGGCCTCGTCTCACCGCCTCCCCTATCACCCCCTAGTTCCCTGATGGTCCTAATTTGTGCTCTGAGAGCCCAGTTTACTCCGTGGCCAGGCCCCACCTGTGTTTCCAAGTCCGGCTGGAGAAGCAGGATGGGGTAGGCCTTGTGCTTTGAGTGCCCCCAGCTCTGCCTCACAGGCAGGCAGGCCCCGGGGGCAAGAGTGCACTCTGGGTTCCTAAAGCAATAAATGCAAACAAGCCAGCAGCTCTGGTGCTTGAGAATTTCCATCTCAGCCACACTCCTCCCTTTAGGGGCTTCGGAGGAGAGGTCAGGGCTGAGGCTGGGGATGGAACTGCAGGAGAGAGCAGCTGCGGGGCCCACATTCTGAGCCTCCGTCCACTCCAGTTTTAGCAACTTTTGCCTTTTGCACTGAGTGCTAAACAAATTCTAGCTCTGTGATTTTTTTCCCATTCCCAGATTTACTGTAAGTTCTCCTTAAAAAGTATCTAAGCTGTTATAGTAGCTTTCCCTTCATTTGGTTCTATTGTGTGTTCTCTATGTTTGGAATAATCACATCCTAGTACCTAGATATTTTCTCTTCACCGCATTTTGTAAATAAAAGAGATGTGTATGTCTCCTTGAATTTTCCTAATTATGGCCACCTCCCCCACCCCGTTGCCGGTTCTCCCACCCTTCAAGAGAGCACACCCTGCTTGCCAGCTGGTCAATTCCTGGCTGGCCTCGCCCTCGGGCCCTGGCTGCTGGGCGCCTTCCGTTTGGTGGACTCCTGAGGGCAGGAGGCTGCGGGACTGTCCTGGGCCTCCACTGGGGCTCCCTCAGCTGGGGTGGCTATGGCACCCGGACAGACTTTCCTGCCTGTCTTCCTGGAAGTGATAGGAGCACCGGGTTGTCCTGGGCGGACTTGCTTTGACCTGCCTATCGCCCCCAGAGGCCACGGTGAGGACCTGCAGGCTGACCTGCAGGACAGCCCTCAGGACCCGCTTCCCACCCCTGCGCCCTTGCAGCAGAACCACACACGCCAGCGCCTGAGCGCCTTGGGCCCCCTCCCTCACCAGCGCCTGCACTGGCAGAGGACTGGCTGGGCATGCCTGCCATCTGAAGGACTCAGCCCATGAACCATGCAGACCAGGGAAGGGCCTCCTCCCCAAGGCTGGAGACCTGTTGCCTTCATGGTTAATGGATCCTGACACCTCCAGTCTCAGTGGGCACACAGGCAGTGGTCACCTGCTCCACAGGGAACGCATGGCTCCAGGTGGCCCGGAGTGGATGGGGCCTGAGAGGCCAGCCTGTACCGTCTCCTGAGGGCAGGCTCTGCACTCACAATCGTGTTGACAGGCACCCATTCAGGAGTGGAGAGGGACGCCCCCACCTCACCTGTGCCCTCCAGTGCCTGTTTCCCACTTGGCCACTCCCAGCTCTGCCTCCAGGAAGGGTGAGGGCAAGGGTACACCGTGGGGTTGGCGTGTGTGACCCCTGAGCTCTGGGTCAGGGCAAGCTCATGCATGGAGCAGGATCTTGGCATGCAAACTGCAGGATCAAACTGCAAAGGCCGTAAACCAGGAAGCCAGGCCTTGCCCGGGCTAAGGGGAAGGCACTGGGCCCGAAGGAGGAGGGCCACTTCCTGCCACCCCTCCGCCGAGCTCACCTGTGGCACCTCCCCAGGAAGTGCTCTGGCCAGAGCAGGGTAAACACGATAGCCCTGCCCCTCTGGGACCGGGGCCCGGGGACCTAGACTCTTGGCCACACTCATTCCCACCCCTACCCAGGACGGCAGCCGGAGCCTTGGGTCCCTGCATGCGCCTGGGGTGCCTTGTGCCCCTTCACTTCCTCCTTGTCCAGTTTACTGCTGTGGCAGCCGGTGCTACCCGCTGTGTCCGCTGCACCCTGGCCTGTTCTGAGCGGTCAGAGCAGCTGGGCAGAAGGGCCATCCTGGGAGCCAGGAAGATGAGAACAGAACCAGACAGTCCCCCTGTGGTGGGCAGAGGGTGGGGCCTGGGCCTGGCCACGGGGCAGTGCAAGGAGAGGCATCCTGAGAGGGCCTCGGGTGTCCCCACCGCCCCCGACACCCAATCTCTCAGTGCCCAGGCTGGGCAGAAAAGGGGCCTTGGAGGAGCCCCTGCACTGTAAGGAAGGGAGGCCCCATCCCACTCCGGGAGCTCAGGGCCCCAAGCCTGGGTCTGTGGCATGGTTGGGTCCTGCCTGACACCCACCCACTCACCGAAGCCTCTACCCCAGCTTCCCCAGACTTTGGGCGGGCCCGCTAAGGAAAGCGACTCTGCCCCACGCCTGGCACACCTGAGGGGCGTACCTGGCTCGGCCAAGGCTCTGACCTCCCTAGGGCTGGAGCCCTCCCAGCATCACGCCAGCGCTGCCCCCGAAGCCCCATTGGCAG